AAAAAAAAAATCCGTTTTGAATAAATTCAAGAAACAGAAAAACTGTTTTCTTAATTTAAATTGTAATAACAATTACTACTATTGTAAAGTCAACCAAATTTGACCAACAAAAACTTTATAATAATTTTAATAAATCCAACAAGTTCTTTCAATTATATAGTAGATTAGTATCAGATATCATCATATTCTGCTCTTTGAGAACTTCATGTACGTGTGCCTTGCAACAATAACTAATAGTAGTGGATAGTTTGAAATAATATTTAAATTTAAAAATGACTAATACAATTACATTAATTAATTGTACTGATTAATGAAATGCATTGACCAGTAAGTTGTGTCGTTTCACTGATTATGCACGGATTTTTCCCAACACACGTTATGGTTAACCCTTTTGAGTCAATTTTTTTACACAAAGAGGATATATTTTCTACCCCGAATCTGTTGGGATTCTTATGAAGTAGTGTGAAAATATTTGGAAAATTTGTTAGTAAAAATCTATATTTTAATGAATAGTCATTTTTCACATGATACGTACATATATAATTTTGATAGAAATTAAGATTAATTTCATAATGGACCCAATTTCTTGAATACTAGGGAATATTTCTTCCGTTAAATGTTTTAGTGCGAAGTATATACATTTGGGGGAGATGTTAAGGTCTCGTTACGGAACCGTTCTGTCGGAGTTTGTAACCGCTACATCAACTAACCTCGACTGTTACCTAATGATTTAACGGTTTAAAACCCCGAATGAATGGTTCCGGTAGGGGACCGTAAATATGATTTTGCAACACAATAAATAATGACAAAATTGGATTTTACACAATAATCACATAATTATTACAAAGCAAACAATTGATGAACGTGACATTATTTTTCTAAATGGATCAATGAAAAACGTTATCTCTTGCACGCACATCGCAAGGACACACGACGCCAGTCTGTTGTAAAAGCGAATTACAAAAAATAAAAAAAACATAAAAAAAAATCGAAAATATTGGAGAAACGAAATAAATAAATAAATAAAATAAAATAAAATTGGGAGAATTTGAATGGCCAAATATTCGGAGGCGATAAATTAATACACGCATTTTTCTGTTTTATATAGTCTCTTATCTCTAACAAACTCTCTCTCTCTCTCTCTCTCTCTCTACAGAGTAGTATAGCAGTGTACTACTACTACTACAACTGCCTCTGTCTTCTTCTTTTCCATTTCCCCTCCTCAGTTTCAATGGACAACACCACCACATTCAACGGCCAGGATCTCTCCGCCGACGACAACCACGCAGATCTCCTCACCCTCGGCCTCTCCACCTTCCACCACCACCTCCCTCCGCCTCCCACCCCCGCGCCGCCGCCGCCCCTTCTCATCAACCCCGCCCTCTCCGCCTTCCACCACCCTCTCCCTCCCCCGCCACCCGCCGCCGCCATCTCCATCCCCTCCCCCTCCGCCGTCCGCCCCCGCCGGCAGCGGCGGAACCCCTCTCGAACTCCCTCCGCCGGCAAGTCCCCGACCATTCCTCCCCCCTACCCCTGGTCCACCGACCGCCGCGCCACCGTCCACAGCCTCGACTACCTCATCTCCCGTCAGATCTCCGCCGTCTCCGGCGACGTGGAGTGCAAGCGTTGCGAGCGGCGCTACTCCGTGGAGTTCGACCTGCGTCAGAAGTTCGCGGAGGTGGGCTCCTACGTCGCGGCCCACAAGGGCGGCATGCACCAGCGGGCCCCCGCGGCGTGGTGCAGCCCGGCCCTCCTCCGCTGCAGGTTCTGCGAGCAGGATAACAGCGCCCGGCCCGTGATGGCTGAGAAGAAGAGGTCGATCAACTGGCTGTTCTTGCTGCTTGGGCAGATGCTGGGCTGCTGCACGCTCGACCAGCTCAAATACTTCTGCAAGCACACGAAGAACCACCGCACCGGAGCCAAAGACCGTGTCCTCTACCTCGCCTATCTCGCCCTTTGCAGGCAGCTCGACCCTCAAGGTCCTTTCGACATTTGATACTCTCTTTTAGAAGGAAAAAAAAAATGGAAATTAATTAATCTGTAAGTGTTTTGGTGGTTTAATTATGGTACTTAGTGGTGTTTATCTGGCTGTAATTTTCATGGGAAGGAGACTGAATTAATTAATTAGGGTTCGATTAATGTTAATTAATGGGGTTTGAGTGTTAATGTCTAGGGTTTGAGATTTTGGATATATATATATATTTATCATCAAGGTACAAGTTCAGTGGAAAATGAATGATTCTTGATTTATTTCTTTATTTTTTTTCCCTACATTGGATCTATTAATTCTGCATTTATTTATTTATCTTTTGGGATTTAAAACAAACCAAAAAAAAAAACACAAGAAAAAGTTTATTATGAAATTTTTAAATGGTCAATTTTACATAAATGCATGAGTTTGTCATGTTTATTAATTTGCTATAAATATATGATTTATCTTTTATTTTATCTGAATTGTGTGTCGTTAAATTTTGTTAATTCTGTAAGCAACAAAAATCCACAGGGTACCCAATGATTGGCATAATAATTAGCTAATGATTATGGTACAGAGAGTACTTCTTTTGTCGCTGTCAATGGTACTGCGCACGCTGGAATGTGTATTTTTTTGGTCACGTTGTAAAACCTTAGTACGGATGCAATTATCCATTGCATATCAAAATGATATATATTTGATCTTTTCCGAGTTCTTATGATACCATGCTTAATAGCGTCTCTCGATTCATGTTTATCAGTTTTATATATATTCACAAAATCTCAAACCTTAATTTCGTTCCGAATATGGTATATACGAGCTCAAAGATCAATCGAACTGGAATATTAAAAATAAAAATGCGACTAAATTTTTGCAGTACTAATTAATTGGTAATTTTCTTTTATTTTCCTTGAGCGGTAACGTAATAATGAACGTAATTCATAACACTTTTGTTGAAAATGAGAGTGCTTAGGAGGTTGTATATATACGATATAAATAGTTTTAGGTAGTACAAAAAAAGTGATACATAAAAATTATAAAATGTTACAATAGGAAATACGTAACAGAAATATAGGCATTGCAGTTGCTCATGCTACTTAAAGTCAAAGATAATACTTTTGGTAGCTTTTTGTAACACTTATATTATGTGTTGCCTTAAGTCAGAAATTCTATGGCACCACATGTGGCACCATATTATGGTGCTACAACATGATGTTGCACATTATGATTGGTGCCACAACTATCACACATCATGTTGTGACACCAATCATAATGTGCCACATAATGTTGTGGCACCATAATATGGTGCCACATGTGGTGCCATAGAATTTCTAGCCTTAAGTAGCATATTGTAACATTTTGAAGTAGCATAAGCGAAATATTGCCTATAACTTTTATGTAACACTTTTTTATTAGGGTAAAAATCTTTTTCACCCCGTTATATATCTATTCTTTCTTTTACACACCACCCATCAAATAATTTCTTTTACACCCCAAAATTCACGAAATGTTATGCGATATTACACTCGCATGTCCAAATGAACCAGAGCATATCCAATCGGCTGCATAATTTATGACTATGCGTAAACATTTTCGCATTTTTTTAATCGCATATCCACATCAAACGCATAATTTACAAATATGCGAACATCTTTCGCATTTTTAATAATCGCATATACAAATCGAATGCAACATAATTTACAATGATTATGCGCCTTCTTTTCGCAGGGCTATATCAACCTTGCAAATTTATGACTGCTAAAATATTTCGCATTTATTGCGCATAATTTGTTGAATACGTATTTTCTGGTAATTGCATATCCAAGTCAATCGCATAATTTACTAATATACGAAAAAATTTCGCATATATCCTCCGGATAATTGACAATTGCGCGACATTTTTTTGCTTACCATATTTATGAATCGCATAATCAAATCGAATAAAGCATAATTTTTTTGACGATTATGCGCCATTTTTTCGCAGGACCATATCGACCTGGCAATTTTACGACTATTCGGAATTCGTACGCAGATCTTTCGCATAAGTTGCGCACCTCATTAATTGACTGCTTTTTCACAGTGGAGGATTTGGTCTCTGCATTTATCATGTAGGCAAAAAAACAGTGATCTCTAACAATTTAACGTCTTCACCATTCATCTACTGCATTTTTCTATTTTTCTTTAATTCTTTTTGTTGTTCACTTATTTGAATGACTAGCAACCGTGTTAGAGTATTGGTGCACTTTGGTGGTTCGTTTTGCGAGGGTTCATATCTTGGTGGAGTGGCAGAGTTGATGAGAATAAATTACGGCCGACAAATATATTCTGAAGTAGTTTCTCGTGCTCAAGCAATATTGAAGGCCGATCCTTGTAATTTTAAGTACATATTGTGGGCAGTATTTGATGGAAGTGAACGAGTTGTGAAGATGAAAATCGAATCCAGTGAGGATATCTTAGAGCTGATTGAAGAACAAAGAAATCTCAACATTTACGTGGATTTGGAGAAGCGAGTAAATGTAGGGATTCCGGGGATGGCGAAACAAAGCTTCACGCAAATGATGGCGTTCCAAGGTGTATTTTTGAGTCCTTTTGGTGTTGGTTGTTCTGCATTTTCCCACGAGGTCCCATATTCACATCAAGTAGGCCCTAGTTCATTTACACATACTGGATATCCTCGGGGCGCTGATGATCAAACCGCGGGTTGTTCGAACCAACCAGGTCATTCTCGTGACGATGATAATAATGATGACCAAACCAACACGCACAATGATGATTAAAGCGAAGAAGACAAAGAGGTCAATGAGAAGCAAATGTTCGTAATCCAGGTACAATTGTCGAAATCGGAATTGGGTTGACCTGCACACATGTCCCATAATAATCGCACAATTGAGTTGATTGCGCGATTCGCATAACATGTCCCATAATAATCGCACAATTAGGTTGATTGTGCGATTCGCATAACATGTCCCATAATAATCGCACAATTAGGTTGATTGTGCGATTCGCATAACAATTGGGTTGATTGTGCGATTCTCATATCATATCCCATAATAATCGCACAACTACTATGATTCGCCTAGTTCTCAACCGCATAATTAACGAATCGTATATCCAAATCGAAAGCCGCATAATTTACGACTATCCGCCATTTTTTTCGCATATCCATATGGACCACATTGATTGATTGTCTGCACCGCATATCAAAATCTAAAGTGCTTTGCACATTATTCGCATACGTTACGCACCGCATTGATTGATTGTAATATCCCGTCAGTTTATCAGTATAAATCATGTTTTTAATTTTGATATGTTAATATTGTCGAGTATTAATTTTCGGAATTAATTATTTCAGTCGAAGTTATCCGAAATTATTTTCGACGTCCCGTTTACGTTCGGAATAATTTTGGAAATTAAGCATTATGTTTAATTAAATAATTAAACATAATTTAGTGATTAATTATAAATTAATCACATTTAAGGGATTAAAAGCCGAAGCTTATGTGCAAAGTTTTCCAAATAGCCGTATGGATTTTCTAATTCAATTCATAATGTTTTCCTTCCATTTCAAGCCTTACACGTGTCACTTTGGGAGGATTATGAGAGGGATTAGTCATCCCTAAAGTTCCTAATAATCTCCAAGTGTCAAGCTTAAGTTAAGCCACAAAGCCTTTACTCATCACCTCATCATCTCTTTTGTTCGGTTCAAGTATAAAGATAGGAGTTGGGGCCGATTTTTCTCCCAACATTTCAGCTTTATATTTGTACCTTAAAAGTCTTTAAGTCCAGCAATAGATAATCAACTTGCCTTAGTATTTTCGTACCTCACGCACGGCAAGAACTCATCGCACACGGAAGGCAAAGGAGTTACGATCAGTTTTGGGAATTCCGACGAGCACTTGAGAAGGTAAATCCATTCTCAACCTTTATTTATGATAGTAAGTTCATATAAGGTTGAGTTGTTCAGCTCATGTTTCAAGAATTCATGAATATGTAAAGATAGGCTCGGTTTAGGCCACTTAAAGTCATGACTGAGTAAAGTTCAGTTCTATCCGGCAACTCATGAACCATCCATGTTTGTTTGATCAGTTTACATCATTTTATACTCAGTTACTTTATGTTGGTCGAGGCAAAAGATCGTTTTGTCCCTGAATTGGCTCAAAGCCGTCGGCAGCGCACGTCGCGCATGCCACGGGCTGTCCCGTGTCATGTTATGTTATCTCTTGTTATAGTCAAGTTTGTCCGTGCAGTTTATGTCTTAATAGCTTTAAAATGATGTTTCATGTTCAGTTGATCTTGAGTTGCCGAGGGAAAAGTCGAGTCGGTCAAGAGACGGCTTATCGCCGTCGGCGGCGCACGGTGCACTCGCCACGGCCCTATTCAGTTTATCGTACAAAGTTTATATTTTCAAGTTATTTCAGTGATCATGTTCATGTCATATCAGGTTATGTTATTTAAAGTCAGGTTGCACGAGAATTGTTGTCGGACGGTCGGCAAGGGCCGG